TTTTTTTTTTTTAATATTTATTTTTCAGTTCTCGGCGGACACAACATCTTTGTTGGTATGTGGTGCTGAGGATCGAACCCGGGTCGCACGCATGCCAGGCGAGCGCGCTACCGCTTGAGCCACATCCCCAGCCCCCTCCTTAAGTTCTTAAGCGTAGCTATAATAGCTGTCCTAAAATCCTTGTCTCCTAATTCTAATGTATTGGCCATCTCAGAATTGTTCTCCAGTGATTGCCTCTTTCCTCTTTCTTTGTGTGTTCACAATTCTCAATTTATTTTAGATATTATAAGTGATTCATCATAGAGGATCTGGATTCTGTTATAGTCCTCTGAAGAATATTGAACTTTTTTTTTTTTAAGTAGGCAGTTAATTTAGCTGAACTTGAACTCCAAACTTTGTCTTTCCTTGGTTAGTAGTGAATAAAGTTACTGTTTAGTCCTTATTTACCTTTAGGTGGGCTGCATGGAGTTTGCCCTGTGGGTATATAGATCAAGAAAGACTCTGCTAGAAGCCAGACAGGGTGGCTCATGCCTATAATCTCAGCAGCTTGGGAGGCCAAGATAGGAAGATCCTGAGTTCAAAGCCAGCCTCAGCAATCTCGAGGTACTAAGCAACTCAGTGAGACCTTGTCTCTAAATAAAATTATATATATATATATATATATATATGGCTGGGGATTTGGCTCAGTGGTCGAGTACCCCTGAGTTCAATCCCTGGCACCTCCCTCTGCCCCCCAAAAAAGACTCTGCTAGAGATTTGGCCAGAGTTCATTTGAAGAATTTGTGGCTCTTTTCTTTTAGGTATTTCTCCTCTCACCTCCCAGCTCGCATGGTTGCCTTCAACTAATTCCTGAACCAGTGTATGTGTTTCTTTCTGAGTTTTAGCTACCTCCTTTAGCTCTGATTGATCACTGTTCTCAGGCAAAAGTCCACAAAAACCTGAAAGTTCATCCAGGGCTGTTGTCTATTTCCAAGTGTTCACTACCTTCCATTGGCCCTGCTTTTGGTCACTTTTCAGTGTCTTC